TTTTTGTAATATATTGTAAAAATCTTGTATTAATAATATAATTTCATTGTACTTATATATATTCTTTCATTTTATTTTAAATTTTAGAACAAACTTTTGCACTATTCTTTTACAAATTATGTATTTTTTAATAAATTAATCCCAAATTAATTAATTAAATTGATATAGCATACTTAAATAATTTAATTTTATAACTAAATTTATTTATTTAATTCATTTGAATCAGAATTTTCATAATAATACTCTAATAGATAATTTTATTACAATTGATATTAGATAAACTTATAAAATTTTATTTTTAATTCTAACTAATTTTATCTCCTATAGATTTTCTTAAAAATAAATATCCATCCCATGCATCAGATAATTTTCTATTAAAATCAGCCTTACCAAAACAATTCATTAACCTTCGTGATTCATTTTCTTTGAATAAATTGAATACTTTATATTTTGTATTCAACACATCATATAGAAATGATCAAATTTCTAATCTCTTTATTGATAAAATTCTTATAATTTCTAATTTAAATTATTATGTGTAGTATCCTTACTAAATTTAAAGTTGAGATTATTATTGTAACATATTAAAATAACTTAATAAATATATACTCATATAATTTGATTAACTATCCATTCATTGTCTTTGAGATAATAATGGATCTTTTATTATTCCTTATAAGGTCGAAAAATAGATTCGAATTTCGTTCTTGAATCTGCAATCACTTATGGCATAGTTTATTTTGTTAAAATAATATCAAAGGGAGATATTGTTAAAACTTTAAAATTTTCAGATAAATTGCTCTTATCTTACATATTGAATTTTTCTACATCAGTTAAATGTTTTTCAGCTATTTAATCTAATATTTAATCAGGATGCTTAGTATGGAAACCTTTCTTTTCTTCTTTATCGATTATATTCCAATGATATTCAATATTTTCATTTAATGATTCTTAAATTCCTTTGATTTAGTAGATTTCTTTTGATAATGGAAAATGCCACAATAATGCTACTTTCTCAGATAATTATTTATAAGTTTTTGATCTTTTATCTAAATAAATATAAAATTTTCCATTCAACATATTTCTGCACCTTGTTAAAAATGATTCTGGTTCATTTTCATGCAAATAACTCAAAGTAAACCATTAACAAAATTCTAATTATTAATTACTCAACCTTGATTTTTCTAATTGTTATTCCCATTATAAATTTTTGACATTCATTTATTATTATGTTAAATATATTAATTTTAATTAGTATATTCTTTAAAAAATATATTTCAAATACAAAAAAAACATCGAATATTACAAGAATCTTTTACAAAAAATAAATAAATACTATACCATATATCAACTTAATAATTTATTTACGATAAAGATTTATTTATTTATTTTAAGAACTACATAATTTGGAGAAAGTTTAGTATTTCCTTTTACTATAAATTATATTTATTCTTAGTTACTGTAAAAAATTAATATACTAAATTCCTCAAAAGAATTGTGTTATAATTTATAATTTTATTATTATCCGCTCAAACCTATCTTAAAACTCTAAATCTCTACTAAATAAATTTTAAAGAAATTGATCTTATTAAAAATACAAGCTATAAGGTAACATAAAATAAGTAAAGTTCATGTATTTCTATTTAATGTTTAAAAATTTTTGTCCAAAATA